TAAGATAGTTAATTCTTTCTGAATTCTGGCTGACTGGTTCAACTCAGCCATTCTACCTGAAACTCTTCTTCAAGCTGATTGATTCAACCTGTCTACTCTGGGATTCTCACTGAATTGCTCTTTTTGGCCACAAACTAACTCTGGCAATTTGCTCTAATCTTATGGCTACTTCTTATTCTCTAGCTCCAACTGCCTCTGCATGGACTCATGAATGAGTTCAACTCCACTGCACTGCAGTCACTGCATTGCTTCCCAGCTTAACTGACTGACTTACTCTCTGCACTGCTCTTAAATAACTTCTCTTTCCTGTGCTGGTTTCCTGGGAATTGGGTATATCCTATCTCTGACTCATTCTGGCAAATCTTTTTCTGATTTGTCACTTTTTCCCTCACTTAGATATTATTGTTTGGGATTAAAGGTGTGTAGGAAAGGATTCCAGCTGGAAGGAATAAATATGTGTACTAAGGGTGTGTCTGCCCTCCAGCCTGATCACACAGACCTAAAAGATTTTTGAATGTTATCAGAGCAGCCATATTGCTGGATTAAAATTCCTCTGCTTCCCTCTATACTGATGGGACAGTAGTATTGATGTTCTATGATCAGTCTGGAAAGACATACTTCCCTGCTCCCAAACAACTAAAGTGTCTTTACTTATCTGTTATTTTTGCACTATAAAGGTAGGACAATTTAGAGACAAGGTCTGTCTTATCCTAATGCAAATGTTCAGTTAATTTGAGGCCCTTATCTTAGGCAATTATCTGGTCACATTTGATAGACTAGTTCTGAATTGGTTTTTATAGTTAAGAAAGCAGAGAGAGACTGTCAGAGGACACTTAGAGGGAAATGAAAGACTGCCTGTGTGTCTGGTCTAGTTTAACTGAAGTGTTGTTATGTTATTTGCTTGTTCAATAAAGAGGCTTAGGTAAGAGAGTAGCAGAGAGAGCTGGGGCTTAATTAGCTTTGTGATTTACGTCAGGTCACTGCGTCTTGATGAATAGTCCTTGTTCCTCATCATAAGTGGATTCCCTACATTGTTCTTCGAGGTCCTTTTTAGTGTTGCTCTGTGGTATCTGAAATCTCAAGGTTTAGTGTATGTGATGAATACTAGCATGTCGTGGGTACTGTGGTCTGAAGCATGGACTT